TCACTTCCCAAAAGTGCCTAGAGTAAGTCCCGAACCCGGGACCTGTGCTGGAAAGCACCACGCTCCAACGCTACACGTCGGACCGACGAATCGATCCAACATGCAACTCTCATTTCACTTACAAAACTTTTCTTTTGCGTAAAAGCGGTCGTTGGGAGCTGTACGTTTTTTAAAATAGCTTTTGGAAAATCCTAAATTTGGCCCAAAATTGGGTCAGAAAAGACGAAACGCCTGACTGGCGCAATTGGAAGCGCGCTAGACTTCTAATCTAGTGGTTGCGGGTTCGAGCCCCGCGTCGGGTTTTCCTTTTGCTAGAGAAAAGCACTTTTTTCCAAAGAGATATGAACATTCTCTTGGGGTTTATTTTGTCTCATCGAGAGTTGTTTTCTTGCCATCTTCATCATGACCACATCGACAATTGAAGTAAAAGGTGGTGGGATTATGTTGGGTTGGTGTTTTTATTGGTTGCACGCGTTGCATGAAAATTGTTAGCTTTTCTTTTTCATCCCATCCGCGCCCCCTCTTTCCATTTTCTCAAGTTGCGCGTTCGGGAAGTTTGTAAAGCGCGTCGTTCTTGTCTCTTGTCTGCATTTATTATTTTTTCGAAAGTTTTTCCTTTCTTTTTTATTTTATAATATTGCAGCCTTTTGCTTGGAGGCAAGAAAATGAACAATCTCAATACACGCCTTGACCAGAGTCTTGAGCAAATTATCAAGGACACAAGGTCATCGCGAAGGGGAAGTAGAGGAGGAGCAGCAAAGAGGAAGAAGACAACAGAGGTCATGGCAGCAGCAGCAACCAAGGGCCCAAAGAAGCCAGCTGTAAGTATATTATCTATTTTTCAATCATTTATTGTAGCTGATGAAGTTTATTGTAAAATTCGCTCGATTGCAAAGCCTAATTGAAACTGAGACCATTTATTTATCTGTTTCTATGTATTAGCGGCGTGTGAAGAACAAGAGCAAAACGGCAGCAGCAGGGAAAGATCCGGAAAAGGCGGCGATTGCAGGAACCAGGGGTGCAATTGCGGCCAGACTAGGCGTTGGGGCGAATGTGAGCAAAGTTCGTGGCAAAGGAAGTCTTTCTGGCAGGGTCGGTAAGATGAACCCAAAGGGATCCAAGACCGAAACGAACGAGCGTTTGGCGGGGCTTGCCGACAGGAATAGGAGAAAGGGAAAGCAGGTGGCGGAGGCCAGCAAGAACGTGAAGATATCAATTAAGGGGGAAGCAGGGCCAGCAACTGTGTTTATCTCGAATCTCGATACTGAAGCGTCGGCGGAGGATGTGAAGACGTGCTTCAAGCAGTTTGGCACGATCAAGAACTGCACGCTTCTGTTTGACCATAACGGACGGGCTTCGGGCCATGCAGAGATTACCTATACTGCCAAGGCTGCCGCCGACGAGGCTGTGGCAAACCTCAACAATGCGCTTGCCGACGGTCGCACGCTGTCTGTTCGTATTGTGCAGGGCGGGACATCCAAGTCGTCTGCGCCGCAGACCGCTTCGTTCGCAGGAGGATCAGCAGCATCAGCGGCAGGCACTTCGCAGCAAAGCAGGAGAGGCGGCCGCAACACAAGGAGACAACAGTTCGGCGGCAGAGGAGGAAGAATGGATGTCGACTGAATTCGCCTCGATCACTCCCCGTATTCATTTTGTCTTGAGCCATGTTGTTTTGTGGTGGTAAAAAAAGAGCATTTTGACCTTTTTCTATTAAATCTAGTAGTTTAGTTTTTTTTATTTTATTTACATTGCCACTAACAATGTAAAAGCGACATGTGTGTCTGGCAGCTAACAAAGATCGCTGGGAATTGAAGGTATCTCAAGCGATCAATTACGACTGCCAAAGCAAGTTGATCTGGCTCACCTTGTCCAGAATCCAGCACCGACGGAAGAGAACGGATACTGGTCCTTACTAGGCAGCGTGATTTTTAAGAACCAGAACATCCGGGCGATTTGGGTTCGCGCGCAAAGTATCCCCTCAATGTCATTCTGTCGCCCAGCCTTTGGCGCACGGTTTTAATTATGTACTCTACGCACGTGCCCATAAAATATATTTTTGTACCCATTCCAAGCCACCCAGTCAGTCGCTTTTTCTTTTCTACGTCCATTGTATGCTGTAATCTTTTCTTTTTCTTTTTCTTTTTTCAGGTGAACCAATGTCGCAGTCCAAAGTCGATTGCCACTTTTTTCTGAGCAGTACCTGCCGGAACGGCACTTCCTGTGCGTTCCGACACAGCGCAGGAGCACGCGACACCGAAGAAGCGTGTCCGTCGTTTGCACAGACAGGCGAGTGTCCCCAAGACGACTGCGGTAAACGGCACACAGAGAAGAGTGCCGGACGTGCAGCCAAACCGCCAAGCGCAGTGCCGTGCAGGAACGAAGAGAATGGCGGGACGTGTGCCCGCGCAGACTGTATATTCAAACACTCGAGACCGCACGGTGGCGGCAGTGGCGGCGGGGCACAGCAGCAGGGAGACGGTGGTTCTGCTGTTAATCGGCCAACACGCAAGATGGCGCCCGCTCTGGGGAACAACTCGCTTAGCGCGCGGGCCAAGGTATTTGTGCCCCAGACGAAACCGCAGATCCGCGCAAAGACGTTTGGCAATATGGAGTGGACTCCAGCAGGCGCGCCGGAGCCAACTAAGCGGCATGCGTGGCCAGGACCAAGCATGGCGTCTGCTTTGAATAAGCACATGCGGTCCCAACCTAAGAGCGCGTTCTTTAGTAAAGGCGATGTTCCAATGGAATCAAACTCCGAAGCTGATGGAATGGATATCGACAGTACGCAGACGAGCCAACTAGCACAGCCAAAGCCAGCCATTCAACAAAGGGAACCTATGAACCCAGTTTCACATTGGAACCAGCCTATAGATCAACCATCCACGTGGGTTTCATCTGCACAGCAACCCGAAAAGAAAGTGCCAGGAGCAGCATCGATTCCAACGATCTACGACATCCTGGGCATTGCCGAGGACACGGACAACAACACCAAAACCGAACGTGGAAGGGGCGATCGCATGGCTAGGCCGCCTGTCGATTATTCCGAACCCGTATACATTCAAAAGCAGGCTGCCAGTGCCGTGTGTGTAGCCAATAAGCCCCTGGTGTCCACGAGCATACCAATACCAAAGCAAAGCAGCGCTCCGGCAGACGACGGATCGTCCGAAAACAACTCGCCGACCTCGCGTGTGTGCTATGCATCCGAATTTGCCTCGTATATGGCTAGCGAAGAAGAGGCCACAAACACGCACGCAAGGGAACCATCGTTGCCTGTAGATTCCTTTGCCATTGAAGATGTCACAGACAAGAGCGCCCGTGGATCTTCGCCGCCAGTTGAGGTGGTACATCCAACGCAGATCACGACGCCTGCACCCGAAGAAGAAGAAGCTTCAAACACCGCAAAGGAACCTGTGCCCGTGACTGTTCAGAACGATGCGCAAAATGGGACCACCAAGCCAAAGACAAACCCTGTTTCTAATGACAATAACAAGGAGAAAGAGCTGCCAAAGATCCTTTCGTTTCAAGAGATCATGGAGCGCAAACGGCGTAAAAAGGCAGCCGAAGCAGCCAAAGCAGCTGAAGCAGCAGAAGCGAAAGCAACAATAGCTAGTTCCTCTGTTCGGCAGACGGAGATCCCCCTTGAAGCAGCATTACCGTTTGTTGGCAAGCGGCGTGTTATCGACGACAACGACGATGGCATGGACAGCGATGCATCTGAGGGAAAGCGGAGGAAAGCGGAACAACATTCGACGCCACGAAGACAAACCACCATACAAAGTTACAATACTACGCCAAAGATAAAGAACTACGTGGCAATGTTCGAAAGGGAGTTGGAGGACCTGTCGCTTGGACTCAGCGGCCCACTGCAAAATTCGCCAGCGTCAGACAGGATTTCCCGAGCCACCATTAACGACACTTACGTTGACACGGATCTGAGCCAGCTGCTCGGCAGCTAAGCTCATATGATCGGCTTGTTGTTTATGGCATGAATAAAAGTAGCGATATGTCTATTTTGTCAAAACTCGCATACGCGGCTGCACTGACCAGTTGCCCAGACGCTCTGGCGCGTGGCGCTCTTCGTTGTGGATGGCGTTACTCTGATCTGGCCGATCGGGTCGATGTCAAAGGCTACTAGATCCTCAACAATCTCGGCGCTGACAACTGTGCCGCCTGCTGCCACGCTGAATGCAACGAGGAAAAGCTGCCCGTCCTCAGCGCCGACACACAGGAGCGGATCTCCTGCAGATGTGCGCACCAGGCGGACAGCCGATACAGGCGAGGTGTCGCCGCGCTTGAAGGCGTACACGGGTGCAGA